AATAAAGAACAAGTAATCACTGTCATAAGTGTCCAGTGAGGACAATGAAGAGTCCTTGGATGTCAGACACATGCCAGTACCTAATGCAGAGCTGTGCAAGTGAGGGAAGTCCTCCTTGAAGGGAGGCATTGTTAGAGATAGAACAGGTGTCAGGCAGAAGGATCAGGGGAAGGAGCAGGTATTTCAGAGGTAGAAGCAAGAGGAGCCTGGGACCTTGGAGGCAGAGAAAGAAATGCACTCTGGTTGGAATGTAATGACCTCGGGACAGAGTGGTTAAAGAAGAGGTAGGAGAAAGAAGTACTTGAGGCTAATGCATGGTCATGCTGAATTATCACATAACAATGGAGTTACCTTATCCTAAGACAAACAAGAGGACAATCTGGTTTCGGTATTAAATAGGAAGATTGGAGGAAGTAAAAGAAGAGGCTATTGCAGTCATCCAGGAGAGAGAAGATGATGATGAGGGCTAGGATGAAGATAATGACTGGGACTAAGAAAATGGCTTAAGAGACTTTTAATGAGTTAGAAGCTGTGGGGCTTAATGTTTGCTTGGATGAGAAAATGAAGGTGGTGAGTGAGTTCAGGACAGCTCCCAGCTTTTCCTATTAAGCCTAAAATGCTAGTAACTACCCCACATAATGATGTAATTATTTTTAAATGAATCAGCAACAATCCTTACAGGTTTAGACATAATATTATTGTATATGACACCATCATTTTAAAAAAGGCCTCTGTATTTTTTCATGTTATTGCAAAAAGTAATTAAAATGATACCTTTGTAGAATAAGGGGAAAAAGCAAGATGACCTCAAAAACTCATTCTAGAAGTAAATCAATATTATTCTCTATATCTGAATCACTAACGTAGTGATTCACGTCTAAGTTTAAAATGTTTATTTGAGGTTTAAAAACATTTGGGAGAAAATAATTACATTCCTGATTATCATTGCATGTCAGTGCATTGTAATTGTATTACCTTTTTTTTTTAACTTTTTCTATATTTGGTATTTTTATATATTTTCTAATTTTTATGAAGAAAAATTGAAAATAAGTCAGTTATTTAAAAATTCACTGGTTTGAGTAATAGTTAAAATAAATTTCACAACTATTTTTTTGCAGGATCTGAACTCAGCTTTCTGTGAAAACAAACACAAAACAAACTACTGCTATTTTTAAAAGAAATTTTTGAAAGCTAATATGTCTCTCCACAGGAAGTATGTAAAAAGATGCTTGTCCAATATCCTGTCTTTGCAAATAAACTGGTGGCAATGGAATCATTCATTTGATTCTTAAAAATAAATTTATTCAAAAACACTTAAACTTCAATTGAGCAGCAGACTTGAGTCTCAAAATAAGTAAGTGATAGACATTTCTAATGCTCTTAAAATGAAACCGCTGTTCATGCTTCCAAACAAAACAAAACATTGAGTCTATATGACTTCTGAAGCACACACCTATAACAACTTATTTTCAGAGAAATGAGCTCTGGAAAGCAAAGAAATACTTTTCAACATTGTAAATCAAGTGCTCTACTTCATTTTATTCTCAATGTTTATCAATTATACATGCATGTGTACATTTGCATGTGTGTGTATGTAGTCAGTCAACTTCTCTTAACAATACATTTGTTTGTGAGTTATATATTCATCATTATGCTGTAATTTAGTATGCTTGAAAATTTTTAGGTTCACAGTTCCATAAACAAGAAAACTATATAATAAAGGGCATATTTAGAAAGCTATGTAGTATAGCTGTATAGTACTCCTATATGCAAATTATATTTACTTAGTCTTTTTTTTTTTTACTTAAAGATTTCTAAACTTAGGTCAGTTAATTAACTAGGGCCAAGAAAGCTGCAGAGGAATTATCTAGGAAGTAGGTAAAAACTAGTTCCTGAATTTCTGCTGTAGTATTATTTCTTGATCTCAATGCTGATTATGTAGTGCGTTGGTCCTAGATTTATCAAATTATGCATTTGAAATTTCTACAATTTTCTGTATGTATGCTAAAGTTAGAATGGAAGAAAATATAAAGTCTCATTAAAATACATAGCTTAGAAGAAAACAGGAGAATATCACCGGATAGATTTTGTTGGTTTGGTTTTAGAAATAGGATCTTGTTATGTTGCCCAGGCTGGTGTTGAATGCCTGGACTCAAGCCATCTCCCTGCCTCAGCCTCCCTTGTTGCTGAGACTACAAACCTCTGCCATCGCACCCAGCTAAGTAGACAAAAGTTTTTAATCAGGATACACACCAAAAAAAAAAAAAAAAAAAAAAAAAGGAAGAAAACCCTAAAGAGAATAAAATAACAAACTGGACTACATTATAAACAAATCATCTTCATGAGGAAATACCATTAATTGAATGACAATGGCACAAAGAAATATTTGAACATGAATTTTACTCAATAGGATTTGTAAGTGATGAATAAATATATAAAATATTTAAGGCTACATTTGTTTTTAGGAAGATTAAAGTTAAAGAATACAGCTTTCTATCTTTTGTACCAGTAAAAACATCACCATCACCCACACACATGTGAAAAACTAAATTTAAAGACCATACTAGGTGTTGGGAATGCTGTGTAGCAATTGGAACTCTCATATATTACTGTGGGAGTGTAAATTGGTACAAGTACTTTAGAAAACTGTTTGGCAATATTCACTCTATCTGAACATATGCATAACTGTAATGGAGCAATCCCACTTGTAGGTGTACTTTGAAGAGAAGGGAGTATGCATGTCTCCAAGATCATGTTCAAGAATGCTCATAGTGATACTATTTATTACAGGTAAAATTAGAAATAAACCAAACATCATCCCCAGGAGAATGGTGCTATATAAAATATATTTTGCATTATTTTCAATTTTTGATACATCATTAAGTTATAGTTGTTTAGAAATAAATGTTTCAGAGCTGGGATAGTGGCTCTGTGGTACAGCATTTGCCTAGCATGTATGAGGCACTGGGTTTGATTCATAGCACCATATAAACAATAAACAAATAAAAATAAAGTTATTTGGGGCTAGGGTTGTGGCTCGGTGGTAGAGTGCTTGCCTAGCAAGTGTGAGGCACTGGGTTTGATTCTTAGCACCACATAAAAGTAACAAAATAAATAAATAAAATAAAGATATTGTGTCCACTGACAACTAAATTTTTTTTTAATTATTTAAAAAATTTTAAAAAAGAAAGAAATGTTTCAAATAACTTGCCCCACCCCATTGATATTCTCTCTGGATATAAAGCATTTTAATTAGAAAAAATTCAGAAAGACCATATATATCAATTATATCACCTCTGAGATATTTTCTCATACAAATGAAAAGTTTAAAATGAAAAACATATATATATATTTATAATCTAATGAACTATTTAATTTTTCTGGTTTTGCTCAGAAAATTTCAAGAAATTTGTTGGAATAAATAAAACATGACAAATAATATAACATAATATTGAAGTAGTAATAAAAATAGAAATAAAAACCAAGATTAAGGAATACAACATGTTTTAAAATCTATAGAATAAAACTCATATAACTACTATGCATAATCTATAATTTTAAATGTCAGTTACACAGTTAATATCCATATAATAATATTCAATTGTACTTTATTCTAAAGTTAGAATTGCTTCAGAGGATAATGTTAAAAAGATACTGAATGGAGTTATAAACAACATTTTCAATAACATTAATACACTCACTTGGAATCTATCATTTCAGTTTTACATAATTCTTAGCTTCTAAATTTGAAATATTTATTTTGGGATCTTCAGAAATTCACAAGTTAATTTCAATTTTTCCAAAGAACCAATTTCTAGTTCTGTTGATACAAAGATACTGCAAGGGTATTAATCTTTTTCATTTGTGTTACAAGGAATCAAAAAGTTGAGATGAAGTTTTCTAAACTTTTAACAAACTGTTCAATTTGAAAACCCAACACGATTACATTATAAATATGAATTAAATGCCATTAGCAATCACCATTGATATTTTAAAGTGTATATATGATCCTGTTTTCTCCAAAACCCCACTTATTTTATAAGAAAATTGATTTTTTTTAGTAAAGTGGAGGAACTTCCATTTATTTCAGTCAATATATATTTTATTTGATTTTGTCATCTATTGGATATTTTGCTTCTGGGATTAAGAAATTGTTGGTGGTAAGCATTTTGAATTGGTAAATTCCAATGTGGTTTATTTAAGAAATATATTTAGTTGCTAAGGGGTTGGGGACATAGCTCAGTTGATAGAATACTAGCATGCACAGGGCTCTGGGTTCAAGTCCCAGCAACACAGACACACACATACACACACACACACACACACACACACTATATATATATATATATATATATATTTTTTTTTTCCATTAGTATCTGAGTGAACTCCCTGGAGCTATAACTATTACTACCTAATAATGGCATTATATAGGCAAAGTTGTACTGTTAAAGTAATACATGGGTCTCTTACATTGTTAATGAGGCAGAAATTCACTCCTGACCCCAGTATTAATTTAGTACTTGCCTTTGACATTGAGAATGTGGTGGAGGAACTTCTTATCTTTAACTCCCACTGGTGGCTGGTATATCAGATGATGCTTCTTTCTATTTTAGCTAAGTCAAAGCAATGTTAAACTTTGAAATACAATCCTAAATTCAGAAAAAAAAAAAAAATTCCTCAAAGTTATCAAGTAACACAGTCCTCCTTGAGAACACAAAAAGTGACCCGAAAGACAAAGCTTGTCAGAACTTCCAAAGATTAGAATCTCAACCACTTTTGAAGATTGCTTTATGTTTTATTATCACCATGTGGTCATGTCTAGTAGAAATATAGAAATCAGGAACAAACATCTCCACATTCTAGCAACCTTACCTTAAAACATAGGGAAAGTGTATGTAGAGAGTAGAAAGAGAAACAGGAGTGAATCAGAACTTTTGATTAAGCTAGCCATTAATTTAATTGAGTGTGAAGTGTAAATAACTGTCCCAGGATTGAGCCACTATTTTATTAATTTGAACGTATTGATTAATTAATTAAATAACACAAACAGACTGATAACGTGGCACTTTACACTCTTGTGTCCACAGCATACATTTTGGCAGTCTCTGTCCGAGGGGCCCCATAGGACTTGGCCAAGGAAACACCTGTCGTTGAATAGGGTTTCCTCATGGAATAAGGATAGTTTCTCTTAGGCCCAACATCTGTTTGAAAACAGTAAGTGTGATTCAGTAAACTTTGGAAAAAGAAAAAATGATGTCATTTTATGGTTGTTCCTACCACCCCCCGCCCCCACCCCCACTCCTCATCCCCAAAGGAACAAGAATTATACTTCTTAGTAGGAATCATCTAGGAATCCTAGAAAAAACCCTAGGGGAAAATATAACATTTTCATCCTGAAAGTTATTTTTTAAATTTAAAATTAAGCTGAGGAATTTACTTTTTTTCTGATGCAGAAAGGAATTTTCTGTTTGAATACTGTGCTTTTTAAAAACAAAATGTAACACATCAATTTCTTTAACAATTATTTTGCTGCCTCTCAGTTTTCTTCAGTATTGAAGAACATATACTCTATATTTTTGTGTTTGAGCAATAAAGCTTACGTATTACAAGTCAATTGTCATTGAACACATGGAATTTTTAATGGTAATAGGTAAGAGTGTAAATAAGTACCAACATAAGTAAATGAGATGTATTTCTCTGGGGTTGGGAAGGATAGTAGTGGAGGCAAGGAAGTGTGCTATTTTATTTCATCCTTACCTTTAAAGAGGTATAGGCAGCAGGTGAGGACAGCTCCAGCTAAAAAGCAGCCCAGAGACCCAGCCATTCCAAGCCAACAGGACCAACCAAATTTATATTGGATACCAAGGAATATATTGTGCAAAATCAGAGAAGAACGTTCCACATAAACATCAACAGCATACCACACAGAGCCAATGATTCCTGGAGCACCTGAATGAAAGAGGATTGTAAGATAATATAGAGCATGTTGCAAGTAAGTCATTAAGTCTCTAACCCATGACTGAAGCCATGCCAGCTACATAGTCAGCACCAAATGCCAACTGTGTTTAATATTTTGGGGGGGGAAAAGGGATACCAGGGATTAAACTCAGGAGTACTCGACCACTGAACCACATCCCCAGCCCTGTTTTCTATTTTATTTAGAGAAATGGTCTCACTGAGTTGTTCAGCGGCTCGCTTTTTTGGCTGAGGCTGGCTTTGAACTCGCGATCCTCCTGCCTCAGCCTCCTGAACCGCTGGGATTACAGGCATGCACCACCGCTCCCAGTAATGCCAACTGTATATGAAGTCATTTATGTTGTAATTATAGTCCTTGTAATGTGTTGGGGTCAAAAACAAAAATATGAAGTAAAAAATTGTCTTTATTTTTAAGTAAATCCTTATCTATCATCTCCATACCATATAAGAATAAACAAACATTACTTCCTTTAAGTAAAATTGAATTCCCATCATTTAGCCTCTCTGACAATTGTCAGGTTTGAAATGAAGCCTTCCAAGGTGCCCTTCCTTTAAAGGTGTGTAAGTTATATGTTGAGGCCTAGGTGCAAGAAAGAAAGGTATTAAGCTGGGAAACACCCTTTTTTCACTGTAAAAGGGTGCTTCTAGAATTTCTAAATCTTTCCACTTTGCCCCTGAGAAGACTTCTATGTTTGTTTAAATCACCATTTTTGTTTAATTCTTCTAGATGATTAATGCAAATAATTTAAGAAGGATCAAATCATGAATATATAACCTAAAAAAAAATTACGAACAACTACATGTTTTCTATAATATTGTTACCTCTATGTTAATTTGGAAATATCTTTTTCAAACTTCAAAACAGATAATAGACTTTTAAAAACGTGTGGATAGCATTGTCATTCTGAATAGTGGTTTCAAAGATTTAGTCATACCTGGGCATTTACTTTAGTCATTACTTCAGTAATTCCTACTGGATTTTTTTTCACTGACTCATTTATTTTTTTTAAATTTAATTTTGCCATGCATGGTGAGGCACAACTGTAATTCCAGACACTAGGGAGGCAGAGTCAAGAGGAGCACAAACTCAAGGCCAGCTGTTGCTCAGGCTTGAATGTGCAATCCTCCTGCTGTGATGTCCTAAGTATCTGGGATTAAAGTCATCTGCCACTGTACCTGGCTGAAAATTCACGGTAGCAATTCAGGGTAGATATCACTATCCCAGCTTTACCCTGTTTTGCAGATATGGAAATGACATGACATGAAGATATATCTCAGGTATCTTTAGTTCCAAATTCCCTACCCATTTACTACTTCACACTACCTGCTCAGGTTCTCACATAATTGCTTGCTAAATTTTTGCTGCTACCATTTAAAATGCCCTTCTGGTTTACAGTCTTCTAGTACTTTCATTCCTTCAATAATATATCTCTTCCCAACTTGCATGAAGACCCAAAAAATACATTATGTCATGATAGAGTACTACACTTTGAATTTGAGCATAGATCTGAGTGAAATATCAATTTTGCTATGCCATTAAACACACTGATTTTTTTTAAAAGAGAAATTTTTTAATATTTATTTTTTAGTTTTTGGTGGACACAACATCTTTATTTTATTTTTAAGTGGTGCTGAGGATCGAACCCAGCGCCCGCGCATGCCAGGCGAGCGGGCTACCGCTTGAGCCACATCCCCAGCCCCAAACACACTGTTTTAAAAGTACTTATGGACTTCTTGTTTATTATTTACACTTGATTTATTAGCTTTCAGAACTCCATTTCTTCATATGCTTGTTAAGTAAGATAAAAATACAATCTGTTTATTTATGATCAAGTGGGTTGGCATATGAAGAAAATGTAACATAGGACTTGGGACAATTCATTAATTACATTAAAAAATTGGTGAGGCATAAGTAGAAGGTGACAGCTTGGAACTTGACTTTAGGATCCAACTTTAGGAATAATTACAAAAGAAATTATTTTTAAGAAATAAAGCATTATATAACTTTTTAACTGGCTAAAAATTAGTTGGGAAACTTTGCCATACCTTATCTTGGAATATTAACTATGTAATTCCAAAGGTAGGAAGCAGGGCTGGTAGGTATGCTTGCTATTCCTTCAATCTAGTAAAGCAAGCAACATATGACCCTAAAATAAAGCACTCCAGAACAGGAAAGGGTGCTGTCCTTGAGTGAGTATCTCTACCCCTGTTGCTAATCCCATCCAGTACCTGCTATTAGTAATGTTGTTCCAGCAACAAAGCAGATGCGCATTTTAATGTATGGCTCATCAGGGAGGAATTTCACACAGTCAAGACCAAGGAGCAGGGTGACAAATCCAAATCCAGCTAGGATGTCTGCAGTAATCATCAATGCTCGCGTGACCACCAGCTTCACTGGATGACAGGGCATGTGGTTACAGTAGTCAGAGGAAGAGACATGTTAACTCACAGAGGTACATTAAAAACAACAACAACAACATAAAAAAGCCAGACAACCATATACATTGGTACAAACCCAATGATAGAAATCAGATTTGACATTTGTATAAACTTGGTTATGAATATCCTTAATTTTTTCATAAAATTCAAAAAGAGTCTGAACTTATTGCCATTATAAATTGTTATTACTTAGTTTTGTTGGCATTTTAGCAGATTGCATCCTGGTAGATAGTGGGGACTAAGAAAATGTTTTTCTTTTCGCTTCCTGCTCTGGAGTGTTATAGCTGAATGCTAAATTGAAGGTAGAATATTTTCTCTGTGGCAGTCACCCAATAAATACTGGATGAATAAATTAATAAATGATCTCCATAGTTTTTGACATTTTCTTGAAATGTTTAAAATAATTGTTAGAATTTTGCACATGAATATAAGATAAAATATTTTAAGACTCCTCTTGCCAATTCAGACTGGTGGGAACCATGAGAAGACCTTTAGAAAGCAGAATTCATTTCTGCTATTAAATAGAAGACCATCTCTGGAAGCCAGATCATGTTCTCTTTCAGCCCTTCATATCATGTCCCTTCTTGGCCAAAACTCCACATTAACCCTTGAGTTCTGCACTGTCAAATGAGAATATTTTAAAGCTACAGGGAATAAGAATGTAGAACAGGAAAGAAAGTCTCAGGTAAATAGAAGCAGAGCAGCTGCTGTCACCTTTTGGAAAAGACTCATAAGTTCTGAGTGACAGTTATGCTACATTAACAGCAAGGAAGTTATATTACAAAGGGAGAGTTAATTACATGAAGTTGGAATTACAACCATATTAATAGATACACAAGGGTAACAAAATTTATTCCTTTCACAGTAATTATATTTTATTTTCATAGTGATCTGAGGTATCCTTGTCTTTTAAATATTTTCTTCTCAATGATGAGGTAAAGTTAGGGCACATTTAGTTATTTGTTGCTTGCAAGAAATGCAGCCATTTTTTTTTTCCTTATTTAAAATGAGAAAATATCTCTGTAATGTATCTGAGAAAAGAAGTCAAAGCATAAAATCCTCCTCTACCTTATTTGTAGGAGAACATACTATATATGCTTATCTTATTAATATGTATGAATATACATTTGTTTTTAGAATTTAATTTGTAATATCTCAAAAGTTGGCATTATTTCAAAAAAATTAAATATTCCAAATCTGAGGCTCATTTTTCTAGAAATTGAGGGAAAAGAAAAATGTAAAACTAAATAAATGACATCAGGTTTTTTTATTTTTCTTTCTTTCTTTTTCTTTTCTTTTTCTCAGCATATCCTATTTATTTCAAATGGCATGTACAAGTGGTCTCTCATTCAGTGTTCCAGGCCAAGGAGTATTTTGGAGGGCCTCCTTTGACATTGTCTCATTCCACTTTTGAGCCTGGGACTACCTGGGGCCAGCAGCACCATTGGGATGGAGTGGTCTGCACTCATGCAGACCCTCATGGGCTCTGGTTTCTTCTTCCCACCCTTTTCCCTACATGTAGGGCCTCCTTGGAGCTCCAAGACTCCTGCCAACAGGATAGCCCATTGGTTACATGGTCAGCTTGGTTCCAGAAGGGCAGCCCAGCAAGCAAATTGCTCATGCAAGCAGATGAGGAATGTTTTTGGTATCATGTGGGACTCAGCTATCAGAATGGAGCTAATATGCCAATTTGTTCATGGAGAAGCATCTCAAATTATCTTTATCAATAGGAGCTCTGCGAAACACTTAGGGTCAGACACAGTAGGAAGGCAATGGAAAGTTTTCTAACTGTGGTTGTATAAAAATAGCAAAACTAAAAATGAAATTTTACTTCCTCATAGGAAACATCCTAATGTACAGGGTTTTGATATGTTATTCTTCTAGAATAGATTTTCATCTCTGTTGTCTTTAAACATATGAAAGAAATTTTTTAAAGGACTGGACCTGTATATCCTTATTTTTTTTCATAAAATTCAAAAGTAGTCTGGGTCTTTATTATTTGAAAATAATAAGAACAAAAGGAAACATGTGAGATGGAATAATCAAAATATTTAAGAGGAACATATTTGTAAGCAGAGGTTTTCTCTGTATAGTGGGCTTACAGTGATTTTTTTTTCTCTTGAATAAATGTACATAATAGTTCTTCAATTTTTGAACTGTTTAATCGTTTGTTTTTCTTCTCAGCTCTGGCTATGTACTGAGTGCCCAACATGAATTTCCATTCCCAAATCATGCTTCTTTATAGGTAGTATGGTGAGGGGAAAATGGAAAGAATTAAAAAGACTTTTAAAAAAAAAATTAGTAAAAGTGCTTTAACATTCTGCATTATATTAAAAATGTTTCAGGGACGTAACTCCTAAATAGCAGGTAAAGAGCTCTAAGTGCTTTTCCTTGGACTGAGACAGCTGTCCAGGGGAAATGTCACATTCCAACACTCGACTTCTCATTTATCTTAAGAAAAGAAGTTGCCATGTGGCGCCATCACCCACCATTTGCTTTGAGTGGGACTAAAACCACTTTGCTTTAATAACAGAACTGGTATTTCTTGGCACAGCTCAATGTCTTAAATAATAAAGAAGGATTGAAAGAATCAACAATAAGATTTTATAATTTAAGAGATCTCCTTATTTATAGTAACATGGGCCTTGCTAATACCCAACTAGGATTTAAAGCTGAAAGTAAAGAAGTTGAAGACACTGGCTCTCATGTGCTGCCAGTAATGTGCCACTGGTGTTGATTTTTTATCCTCTGATCCCTACATTCTGTGTGTCTGCCTTTTACTATTTACCTCCTCCTGTCTCTGCCTCTCTATCTCCACTTCTGTCTTAGCAAATCTGATTAAAATAAATGCAAACTTCCTATTTGAAAAAAAAGTCCTCGCTGGAAAGACATTTCTGAAATGTTATTCATCTAACTTGTCAATTGAAATCATAAAAACACAGTACAAAAAGACTCATTTCAATTAAAAAAGCATTTACTGCAAGCCTACTGGATATGAGGCACTAGCAGAGATGATATTTTACACTCAAGGAATTTACAAATATATGGGAAAAGACAAAATGTGCCAAAATGTGTTTCAATACCCACTTCAGAAATAAAAGTGTTTCTAATAGAAACATCTCTAACTGGACAGGACTTTAATCTAGTACTACAGAAATCAAAACAGGCAATGGATATGGGAGCCCCATTTCCCATGGCATTCCTTTGTTGGCAAGCAGGGCATCAAGGCATACGTACAGGGGTGCTCTGCATATATAGAGTCATACTCATCACAGGTGCGAATCCCGTCGAAGGCATTTGTGACACACTCCCACCAGAGGCCTCGGCACTTTGTGCTCACCTGGATATTGGAGAAGACACCTTATGAAATGAGGCAGACACCCTTCACTTTCACTTCATCAGAGAAAGAGACCCCCCTGGTGTTGTGTCTGAGAGCAAGGCACTGCGGTCGTGAACGTGATCAGAATTTCATTTACAGCAAACAATGCATTTTGGAATATCTTCTCTTAAGTGCTGACAGTGAAAAGCTTTCTGAACCAGGAAATGAAACCACTTCCTGATTGAGGTGGTGTGAAGAAATAAGTCATGGCTCAGGGGGACAAAATCAGAACTAAATGTATTCAAGTATCTATGGCTAGTTCCATCACTGAGTGATGGCTTCACATGGAGAAAATACATCCCACTTCCCTGTGCTGACATTTGCTAATAAAAAAAAAAAAAGTCTATACAATCATAGATGATAACTGTTCATGTCTGGAGTCTATGAGAAACAAACATTTTTCTTCATTAGGAAATGAACAGTGAGTTTCATGAAAAAAAGGTGTTATAATTTTATGAGGTTCATAAATTTAAAATTAGCAAAGAAAGCCAATAGATGAAAAGACACAAATAAATGACTGAAAGCTCCAAGTCATTTTCCTCCCTCTTCTACTGGCATATTATAAATATTTGAGCTGCGATGTGTATATAAACAAACTGAGCATTAAGTTCATCCCATTTGACAGCAGTAAACCATATTTAGTTGGAAATGATGTGCCGATGACACAAGTCCACTTAGAGCTAAAGGGTACCAGTGTTCTGAATTTTCCCATCCTTAATCCATAAGCTCTGAGTCACAGTAGATGTTTTACAACTGTAAACATGCCAACAGAAGATAGTTTCAGGTATTCTTGGCAAAGCTCATGCTTATGACGTGGAGCTAATATGATTGTGTCTTCAGACTCATTTATGAATTCACATTACTTAGGAAACCTGGGAAATACTAAAGTTTAAGAATTATCTTGGAAAATTAAAACTTAAAATTTTCCCCAAGAAAGAATAAATGGTAGAGTAAGGTGGGGAAGAAATGTAAAGGAAGAGATGTTAAATTGGGACCACACCAATTTAAAGGGAAATAAAAACATAAAAGGAAAGGGGCATAAAAACATTTTGCTTTACAAAAGGGAATCAAATATTAAGAATCCCATGAATTGGGAAACTCTCAGCTCAAGTTCTGCTTTGAAATTCTGTTTGGGGCCAAATAAAACTATCCAGCTTACAACTCCATCACAATTTTGAATGTGGTACCTCTACTATTGCTTTACTTATAAAATACTTAGAATTGATAATAATGGTTATACATTGTCGTATACTTTGCAACAGTTATTATTTAAGCACAGTATTAATTCATTTATTCCTTTAAGGACCTCATGAGACACTGTTATCACCCATTTTATAAATAAGGACTGGAGACACAAGAATAGTCCATAAATGAAGGATGAGAGGACTTACATATAGCCGTATGTGTGTGTGTTCTTAAGCACCATGCTGTATTTAAGGCTCATTTAAAAAAAGAAACCCCAAATCTGTTTCAGGATAAAGTATTCCAGAATTGGATACTGGAAGATAGCTTTGGATGAAATAAGCTCTAACTTGAATCTCATGCCCACAGCTGTTATTCTTCAAAACCTCGCTGTTTCTAAGGTTAAATCTGGAAGTAATGTTCACGATTTTATGGAAGGTTATCTGACAGGGAGAAACACAGAGTCCAAAAAATCTGATGCAGAAAATCCATCTTGTGAAATCTAACACATTGATTTCTAAAGAAGACGTGAATATCTAAATTTACATATGCACAAACCTTAAATATAAAAAGACATTTTTAATAACTGTTATAACCATGGGCATGATCTTACTTTTTTTGAATTTCAATTTCCTTATCTGTATAAGGCAGATAATGAGATGGTGGTTGTAAGTATTCAAAATCTGTAAATACATACACAATGGAAATTATTTATTCCATAAAGTAAAATAGCAGTAAAGCACTCAGTCCTCGCAATGACTTACATAGTGGTTGTGCTCAGCCTTACAAACAATAATTAAAGAGAGAGAGGAGAATAGGATGGGAGAATGGTGATCCTCAAAAAAATATCCACATCCTAATCCCTAGAACCTTTGAATATGACAATTTGGAAAAAGGGTATTTGCAGATATAATTAAGGATTTTGAGGTAAGGAGATCATGCAGATAGGTTCTAAACTACTGACAAGAATCCTTATAAAATACACATAAAGGAGAGACAGAGACAGAAGAGAAAGAGTCATTGTGACCACAGACACAGATTGGAGATATCTAACCACAAGCCCAAGGAATGCCAACAGCCCTAGAAGCTGGAGGAAAGGGGAGCAAATTCTCCTGGGAAAGCTTCAGAGACACTGTAGTATTCCCAACACTTATTCCAAACTTCTGGTCTCTGGAAGTGTGAGAGAAAGAGTTTTTTTTTTTTTTTTTTTTTTAAATTAATATGTCAGTTGATGGTCATTTGTTACAGCAGCATGAGGACACTAATACAGTAGACTTGGTATGTACTGAATTCTTACACCATAAAAGAAATCAGATCTAAGGGGATGGGGTTATGGCTCAGTGGTAGAGCGCTCACCTCGCACATGCAAGGCCCTGGGTTCAATCCTCAGCACCACATAAAAATAAATAAATAAAATAAAATAAAGTTATTGTGTACAACTACAAAAAAAATTTAAAAAAAGAAATCAGATCTATGCATAGCCTACTTTCCCTGAAATCTCTCAGTTAATAAACACACAGGATCCAGTTTCCAAACTTATGATATATCTTGTGGATATGAAACCACTGCTCTATAATCAGATGATTGTCCACATTTTTCTACTGTCTAAGTCATTCACCAAAATATTACTGATACATATGGTCATTCCTGTTATATATGATATTATTTAGAAAATGGTCTGACATGTATATGCACAAATTCTTATTTTATTTAAGAAGACTCTTTCTGCCTTGCCAAAATAATCCAGTAGTGGTGTCAGTTTCAAGGCTATTGATCATTTACCTGCAATGACCATATTTAGAAAAGCAATGAGCTCATTAGAGGAAACATGGAATCCAATTTCATTAGGTATTAATGCTCAGGGGCACACTATTAAATTGCTTGGTATTCACACTCAGTTAAGGTACGTGAGAATAGTGGCTGTAATTAACTAAACTTCTGTGTTAATATAGCACTTACTGGAGACACCCTTAAAGGTGCCTTTGTGCTCAAAATACAAGGTTAAAAGATTTTGTGTTATTTATCATATTTGGGAAAGTCCTCTTTATTGCAATACATAGTCTTTGTCTAACCCAACCTTCTGTTACAAAATGGCTTATTAGGAATTTTTTTAAAAGGAAGCAAATGTTAAGTTCTTGCAAGTTTTAAGACAATTTAAAAAAAATACTCTGATACTTATATTATTATAGCTGATATTTCTGAAAAGAGCAAAAAAAAAATGCAAAATCTCGGGTAGTCATTTTATCCCACAGCATCATTCAAAATAGAGTATTTCAAACTTGAGCTATCTCCTTATTAGATGCAATTTCAATGTATAAACAACATAGAAAACAATGCTAAAATCCAGGTATAATGGTGAATGCTTGTAACCCCAGGGACTTAGGAGGAAAAGGCAGGAGGATCCCAAAGACAGCCTGAGCAACTTAGTGAGACCCTAAGCAATTTAGTGAAACCCTGTCTCAAAATATAAATAAATAAATAAATAAATAAATAAATAAATAAATAAATAAATAAATAAGGGCTGGGGATGTGGCTCAGTGGTTAAGCACCCCTGGGTTCAAGCTTCATTACCAGAAAATAAAATAAAATAAGAAAAGAAAAAGAAAACAATGCTTAAAGAGTTTGTAATGCTATTTCAATGAATATCTGCCATCACTCCTGAAAGTGAGTGAGAAGTGGATTATCTCCTAAATGAGGACAGGAATGACAGTGAAGTCAAAGACACAAATATGAAGCCAATATAAATTAAATGAAAGTTAAGATGCATATGTGTGAATTAGAAAAATATTGACAGCTTTGTTTCTTCAACAAACATCTGTTAAGAACCTATTATGTACTAAGAAGGAGGCCCTGTAGGATCCTTGAAGCAAAGAGCCACATTTGTCTTAGTTGTTGCTATATCTCATGTACTTGACATGCTGGCACATAACAAGCATTCAGTGAAAATTTTGGAAAATAGAGCTGCACTAAATGCACATACAAAAAACAATGCAATATTGAAAGTGTTCTTAATTGCTTGCAGATGGTTAAAAGGAGAGCTTTTACAGAACACTCCAGGTTTCCAGCTTCTTTTGAAAACTTGGTTGTGATGGTGTCCTGAAGTATTCAGTTGCACAAAGTAATAATTAGCAAGAGTGGATAGAGTAGTTGTTCCCAAGTAGGTGGGTCTTGTCTTCTGGGGGCTCCCACAATTCCTACACAGTCTGCCTCACTCATATATGTTGGCTACCTCGTTCCTCAAGGCATTTGAATTTTCCCCTGATGCTGTACACTAATAATGAACTGTCAGACTTCTACCTAAAATTTCAGTCCCAATTCAAAGACACCCCTTCTTCCAAAAAGTCTTCCATGCCCTCTTTCACTGGAATTAATCTATTTGCTTAAAAATAGATTTCCTTAAAAATAAAAAATTAAACTAAACCCTGAGTTTCCATAGTAATTTCTCCATATTTATAGAACACTTTCAATATTGCATTATTTTTTGTAAGTACATTTTGTGCAGCTCTATTTTCCAAATTATATTCACTTGTTATGTGACAGTCAACATGCCAAGTATATGGGATACAGCAACAACTAAGACAAACATGGCTCCTTGCTTAAAGGATCCTACAAGGCCTGCTTCATGGTACATAATAGGTTCTTAAAAGATGTTTGTTGAAGAAACAAAGCTGTCAATATTTTTCTAATTCACATATATACATCTTAACTTTCATGTGAACTTTGTAGAAAATGGTCACTGTATGCATAATTTCTCCTTCATATGTCCTTTTAACTTTACT